TTAAATTAATTTGGATAACTATTTTAGATTTAGTTTGTTATGCTTATTTTATTATTTGTATTTATCTTAAGATTAATTTTAATTTGTATTTATCTATTTGTAGTTAGTTGGGATTTTAGTTATTTTGGAGATTATAGTCTTAAATTACTAAAACTCTACAACTATAAATAGGGAGACAAGTTATGAATAAAATAGATTCGTGATAAATTTTTGAGAATGAAAACTGAGATGGTTTTCTAGAACTCGAGAAGAGTTCGGTCATGAGTGATTCATGGCATTCTGACTTATCAAGTGTGAAACCCCACTTGTGGCGCCAAATCATTCTCATATCGCTCTATAACCGAGCGTGGGGCGAGAATCAATTCAAAAACCACAAAAACAACCCTTACCCAACCTAAATTAAACCTTAGATTTCACCTAACATAATAAACTTTTCTAAAATATTATTTTTAATTGGAATGTGAAGAGAAGATCGGGCCATCTAGATTCATATCACATCTAATGACTTAAAATTGCATCACTCTTATTAGTTGGATGACCGTGCACTTACAGAAGTCATGAAGAAGCTATTTAAAAACTACAAAAGATGGTGCGAGTACCTTAACCGCAAGAGTAGTCTCTGGTGAGTTTAGTTTTCATGTTTATAGGTATTAGCAAGAATGTTTTGGCCTGATACTGCCTTCTGTTAACCATTTCATTTGTTATATTATAAGAATTTGATGGGTTTGGTTCTCATATGTTTTCAACTGAGGACATCCAGGCATAATATGTGGAACTAGAAGCTTAGTTTTCTCTATGGTCCTACTCCATTTTCTGTGTACTGTATTAGGTGTTTCATTTGCTATAATTTTCAGGTACATTAAATATTTGTCATCTCAACCTTGTAGTCTTGCAGATGGAATTTGAACTATATGGTATGTTGGCAAGAAGCGTTAGTCCTGTGATTGGTGAGACTGTCAAACCTGCCTATGGCCTATGGGGGTGATGATGAGGCTTTTTTGGCAAAAGTGGTTACGTTACTCCTATCTATAACACAATATCAAAGGTATTATGTTGCAACTTATTTCCTCAATTGTTGCACACTAAGACACAAGCTTATTGAGTTTCTGGTGTCAGATTACCTACTAAGCTGGTCAATCAGTGAAGAGTTTGACACAAGTATGCTTCTCTTTTTCCTGTATTGTAAAATCCTTAATTTGTGCTGAGTATGCAGATATTGAATTATTTAATTGAAATTCCTCTTATTCCCTCCAAATTTTTTTTTTTTACTTTTTTGATCTTAAGCATCTTGTAATCTTAAATGTCTAAAAAAGTTAGATTTTGCATTCCCTTCTGGGATGTTTATAGGGCTTTTGGAAGAATGGGTAGTGTCAGTTGTGCATGCAAGGAAGGCATGGAAGTGTTGGAATTATGTCATGGAAGTAACTTTTCATTCATAAAAGTTGTAGTTTGGGAACTGATTCTTTCTCTAGTGACTTTTGAATTTTAATTTGTAAGCACCTTAGTTATCTGATGCTGGTAAAGACACCACCCATCTTGTTTATATTCTTCAACCTGTAATTATAGGATTGGGTTGGTTGAAATGACTATGAACTGACAAACTGTAACTATATGCTTGTAAGGACTTTGGTTCTACTTCATCTTTGATGCTTGCTACTGGAGTGCTTGTATAGTGTTTTTTATCATCAATTATGCTAAAGACAAAATTGTATCCACAAAGCCACAACTGTAAAAAAGGATTTCCACATACCTAAATTTTTTTTAAAAATCCTGTATAAACCGGATTTCCTAGGCACAAGTGCAAATTTTAACTACTTTTAAGTATCTTTAAATATATAGGTATTATGCCTTGGCATCGTTGATATTTTGTTTATTGTATCAAGCGTATTTTGATGAATTAGTTAAATATTACCAATTTCAATGAGATGTGCCAATTTTGTTCTTTGCTTGATGTTACTTTCAAAATACTATTTGTTATACTTGAATTACTTTGCAGAGATTGTTATTGAAACCGTATAAAGTGAATTCCTCTATTCGAAGGGATTGTTATTGAAACTATATAAAGTAAATTCCTCTATTTGATGGCAAAATACTATCTTTTATGTTTGTTTATGAAAACTACGTGCTGCTTCCTTGCTTTGAAGGTCTGTATTATTTGTCTCTATACAGCTTTCTTTTCTGCTTAAGCTTCCATTGTTGTACTCTTCAGCATAGTAACTATGAGGATGAAAAAGAATCTTCTAGAAGCAGGGACAAGGAAAGAGAGAGAGGGCGTGATAAAGATAGAGAAAGAGAAAGAGAAAGAGATAGGGGTCGAGAGAAGGATCATGATCGCCACCACTGGGATAGAAGCGAGAGGAGGAGAACCAGAGATAGATATGATGTTGCTGATAATGAAGACCATTACAACGGTCAGGACTCTGATAGGTATGAGGATACCTGTGGCAACTTTCTTTCTATATTCATTGGTTCTATTGTATTCCAGTAGGATAATGATGTATATACTATATATTTTCCCTAGTCTTTTAATATAGGGTCATGCTTTGACAGTGCAAAGGGCTGCAATAGAATCAACATTTTCCGGATTGCATTAACCACTGAACTTTTATCATTCGAGTTCTAGTTTGTGATAAACTTTAATTTGAGTCGTCTATATTGACTCTTTTGAGCAGTACAATTTGAGGTAGTATAGTCATGGGATTTCATAATAATATGACAGAATTGTCCTATTCAGGCCAATTTTAATTGCTATAGTTGTTTTTAACAATCATGTATAATGATGTTTTTTGACATATTTTGGCTGAGATAATTAGTTCTATGTTTTGTTGTTGTAATGCTGCAGCAGCAGTATGTTCTTGAATTCATCATGTGGTTTCTTCCACATCAAACACATCATACGAAAGACATGCATTAGAGAAGTAACTTCAACTGTCTAAAACGTCACTTGAATCTTTGAAGATGAGGATAGCTTAGAGCGAGGAACTGGTATGTATTTGCTATTCTGCACATAATAGTTTATTTCTGCTATAAGAGTATTGAATGAGAGATTATACTGTATTATCTATAATTTTTGCAGGTTAAACAAATATTGATAGCACTTCTGTGCGAGTCTGAAATGAAGTTGGCTGATGAGACTATTGAGATAATACTGAATAAGGTAATTTAATGAATGATAAATGAACTCAATTCCTCTTACAATACTTTTTTGGCCTTTTCATTTCAATTGAATTATTTGACTCGTATGTTTATGTGTATTCATTATGACTTTTTGAATTATTGATAAAGGACATAGGTTAAGAAAATGGAAAAACAATTAGTATATTTAGCTTGGATATGGAATTCTCTGAACTTCAATGAGGAATTGAACTTGATTTTTGTACTTGGATGTGACAAATTATAGGGCATAATGTGTTATTTGTTTTTGTGGACAGAAAATTTTAGAGGCAGATACGAACCAGGACGGAAATAAATATAAATAATAATAATCGCGTCCAAAGTTCTTGAACTATGGACGCGTAAAGTTGCTTTTTAATAAAAGAAATACAATATGCGTCCAAATTTCTTGAACTTTGGACGCGTAAAGTTGTTTTTTTTAAAAAAAATTTCAATACGCGTCGAAAGTAACTTTGGAAGCTGATTGTTTATACAATCAGCGTCTCCCACATACGCGTCCAAGCAACTTTGGACGCATATTAGTCTTAACTTTGGACGCGAATGACTGTTTTTGTACTAGTGAGTTGTAATGACTATAAAACTTGTGTGTGTTATATCTATGTTTCTTCAAAGAGACTGCGTGATTCAAGGTTCGTCCATCACTGCAATCCGAATTAATGTAACACATATAGCACTATGTGAAAGTTCAATCTCTAAGACACTTTTATTTATGCATGAGTTTTAGATTTATCTTGGTAAAGTATTAATCTTTACTATATAAATGGAGGAGGAATGTTGGAAATTTATATAGTATGGAGATTAATGTTTCAGATGGACTACCATGAAAGCTTAAATAATATTTGGAGTTGTGGAGTTATAATTATTTTAGTTTGGTAGAAAGTAAATTGGGAAATATGATTTGGAATCGAAGTTTAATGATTCGTTGGTGTTAACGAATCGTTGGTTCTTAACGAATCAATGCATAAATCATATCGGTGATATTGAATCGAGGCTTTTCGTTAATTACGAGTTTGATGCACAATTCGTTAAACACGAATTGATGAATAAATTCGTTATTAAGGAATAGATGGATTCGAGTTGCATGATTCGGGTTTAACGAATCAATGGATTCGTGTTAAGTGGTATTTGATGCCGTTTCGAAAGAAACCTTGCAACAAAAGAAACTATTATTTGTTTTGCTGCTTTCGTGTAACCACAAGGTTCGTTGTCATGGTTTGCTAGCATGTTATAACGATTTGCTTTTGAATTGCATTTATGCTCAGCATGATTCGTTGATTGTGGTGCATGCATGTAAGTATAAATATATATGTTATTTATTTATCACTGCTGGAAATCTCGCGTTTTCCGTCCAACGAATGTTGGACGGAAAACGCGATATATTGGTCAGAAACGATTTTTCCGTCCAACATACCGACCAAATTGAACGTTCGGAAAAATGCTTGTCGGAAATTTCGTCCAACTCCACTTTTTGGTCGGAAATTCCATCCAACATATAAAAATGGACAGAAATTCCGGACAATAACCCACCATTCTTAAAACGTGAGAATTTTCGTCCAACTACATGTGTTGGTCGGAAATTCCGTCCAACAGCGTGCATTGGACAGAAAACTCACATATTATATTTTGTTATTTTCCTTCCAACTGTTGGTAGGAAAATTATAAATCATATGAAATGTTTTTATTATTTTTATATTACCATAATTTTATTTATACATATTGTTAATAAATTATGTCCATAACGTAACAAATTAATGAACACACTAAATTTCAAATTAAAAATATATTTAAACATAAAAAATATTTACAACAAAAATAGTCATGTTCATAGTACTTCCAACAATAGACTATAAATACCATACAACAAAAATATATACTACTTAAGTATGCTCGATGCACCCAAATAAGCCCTCAAATTCGTCACTTCTTCTATGGCTGTGATCAATGCAGCATCCACAGCCTTCTACTTCAATGACTTTGATCAAGTGTAGATGATGGGTATACCTGCAAATGCAACAAATTTAAGATGATGGCTTTGATCAAATAAACATTTTTCTCATGCATTTCTAAAGTGATTTCTAGCAAAAATGACCTTACTTTCTTGATGGTATAGATGAATGTAAGTTCTGCAAAACTTTCTACACTTCTCCACCACTGTTTCTAGTTAATCACATGTGTTGAGTATATTAAGACAAATGGAATATCACATAGTCAAATGCACATATATTGAGTGTATTAAGCCAAATAATAAACATCAGAATTGAGTTTTTAAGTTTAAAATATAGTGATGAGCAATTATTAGTTGTACAATAAACCATTTGCCAAGTGTGTACATCAGTAAATATTCATCTTAATTTCAAAAATAGAACACAAATTCATACCGTGTTCTCGCCAAGAAGAGCTCTGAGAGTTGCTAATGATCAAAAGTCAAGCAGCTGTCCCTAGCTTTCTCAATCCTAGCTCTTGCTGTCTCAATGAATCTCAGTGCCTGAGCAAGAAACACGGCTGTCAAATGATAATCCATAAAGTTGGAGTGGATTATTCACAATCCATAATCTTGAAGGCATTCTGGGGACAACAATCCAGTAGTAATGTCACTTGTATATAATAAAACCACTTCCAAAAATGTTGGAAAAAAACAAAGTAAATTGCATCTCAACCAAACCTCCAACATAGCAGTACTACTTGCATTTGCTCTTCTCTATGTCTGGCAATGTCCTCTTTCATTAGCACAATAGTTAGCCGCTAAACAGAAGAAACATCAAATAATAACAAATAAAAGTAAATATCAACATGTGAACTAATAACTTAATAAGCTAATAACTTATTCAAAATATTTTCTACTTGGATGGGTATGATGAATATAGGCTTTAGGAATGGCTGTAATAGTTTCTAGTTAGAGACTATAAAAACCATAGATTAAACACAAAAGACTCTAGGGACTAGTAATGACTATCTCAATCAACAAATATCTTAGAAAAACTTCTTGTCAAACTTTCTGTATTACTTATCTGCAACCACAATGATAACAATTACTATGACTTCAATGTGGTTTGTAAATGATATCCACATATACAACTCTGGAAATGAGAATATCATCCATTCATCTAAGAAATACTATAAATTCCACAACCAAAAGTAAAGTTAATACATTTAATACAGTCCAACATCAGTCAAATTCAAACAAAGCCTAAGAATATCAATCAATTTATTGACCTATTGCAACATATTTCGCTCTTGGTAAAGTAATTTTTCGTTAAAAGTTCAAATTTTTAGATTGTTTAACAGAATAATTTATTATATTATCAACACTAATTTTAGAGCCATGCTCACATAAGACTTTTCACAAACAGTTGGTGGGCAACCAATCTCAGACTCCATTAATTTAGTACAAGTCAAACATAAATTTCAGTAAGCACAATTGGTCACTTTTCTGGAAATTCAGTCCACAATCGCATATGCTCTTGGAGTTCACAAATCTAAAATACTTGTATCTTAAAAAAAAATTATAGAGAAAAAAACTATTACTTGTGCAGGTTGTGGTTGCGGAGGCCGGAGAGCAGACGGCCACTCAGAGCGACGGCTTCGGCCTTCAGTAGTTCAGTGCGACGGCTTCGTAGAACAGGGCAACGGACTTCTGCTGCGGAGGCCGGAAAGCAGACGGCGACTCAAGGGTTTAGGACCAGGGTTTCGACCTTCAGTAGTTCAGTGCGAGTGTGCGACAGCTTCGGAGAACAGGCCGTCGAACTTCAACTACAGAGGCCGGAGAGCAAACGGCGACTCCGGTGGTGGGAGCAAAGACGACGGGGAGGCTTTCCTAGCAGCGGAGGCGGCTGTGACGGCGTGCGTAAGCGTTTGATTGTGCGATGGAGCTTAGACTGTAAGCGTGCGAAGGGTTTGGTGACTTTGGTCTAAGTGTGTTTTTTTAAGTGAGCGAGTAGGGTACCGCCCAAAATTTTGGCAAAATGAGCATTCTTACCGCCTAAATACTTAAATATTTGATTTCCGTCCAACAACAATGTTGGACGGTATATAATAATACCTACCATTTTGTATTTCACCAATTGGTCAATTCAATTTTTTGACCAACGCGCAACGGTAGGACGGAATTTTCGTCCAACATTTAGTGTCGGTCGGAACCTCCGTCCAACGTGCAAATGTTGGACGGAAATTCCATCCAACTTTTCGTCCATCCCTATTTACGACAGAAAGTTGTGATTTTTTACAAATTACCGACCAACATTATTGTTGGACGGAAATAGCGAAATTTCCAGCAGTGTATTATTTTGCATGGTTACATGCATTGAATTAATAAATATATATAATATATATTTTTTACTTTATCAATTCGCATGCCAGTTCGTGAACCTACAAAGGTACATATCTTATGAAAATAAGATTCAAGTAATTATTATTTCCTATGTCTGATGTCTGATATATTAGTTAAGATATATCTTATGGAAGTTAAGTTTTAAATTCAAATAAGAACTACTTCCATGTAACTTCTCTAAACAGATATATTTTGTAATTTTGTATTTTCTCAATTTAAAGATATTAATTAAACAACTGACGAAATAGTCTGACAAATTCAGTGATGATATCAGTCAGATAGTTGAAACACTAGTTAGCTTGCGGAAAGGATAAACTGAGACAGTCAGCGAACAGAACAACACACAAGATGTTTACCCAGTTCAATACAGTGTGTCATCTATATCTGGGGGACGAACACATAGGCGTCCAATCCACTAACAAATAATCAAATGTACAAAGGTAGAGAACAATAATCTCACCCAAGTGCCCCACACAAGGTACGTGCCCAGTCTACACTGATTTAGTGGATTGTTGAAGATGGAGAGCCGAGCATACAGAAGTCCAATGAAATCCCTTCACTTGGAGAGCTAACTCTGATGCAGTCCACTTCAATGACGCAGTCCAATGTTGTTCCCACAACTGTGTAATCTTTGCGTCATTTTCGTTTAAGCAACGATATCTCTTCTCAAGTTCTTCATCATAATCAACAAGAACAAATTGTCTTGAGAAGAGTCATGATAATCAAAGGTGTGATCTCTTAGTATATGCTGGAGTGTTTCTTTCTTCTCAAAAGCGTAACCCTAATTCTTGATCGAAAAAGAGTACTTATAGTTCCATAATAAGAACACTCTCCATAGATACCTCTGATTGTAGATGGTAGGACGATATAAGAAGAATGTAATCTTAAAGATCCGGTCCATACCTTTCCAAAACAGATACACTGATCTTCTTTCCAAAACTGACTTCTTAAACCGCGTTCTGCAAAAAGAAAACATCTTCGTAAAATAGATTTTCAGTGTCAGTCCCTCTGTTGTTGTATCTGATCAATCAGTCCTCTGTAGAACAAACCGACACCAAGCTAACCCTATCTTAGTTTGCCATAATAATATTGTCAATTATAAGTTGGGGTTTTTTGAACAATTAAAACACTAACATATTTACATCTATAAGGACATGCATTTTACAGGCAATCATTTTGCAGAAAACCAAGATACTTCACAGGTTTACATCTCTACAGGAAATTCTTAAACAAAGCAACTTGAGAAAATTTTATTCATCTTCTTGTATCCCATAAAGATTAAATCTTGAACCTTGTTGCTTTTATAGAGGGAGATTTAAAGCTTATAGGAAAGTGATTACATGCCTGAAGATATCAAATGATCCAGTTTTTGTTCACTATTGTCTTCTATATTTCAAATTTATTACATATTATAAGCATTTTTTCCAACAGGTTTCCCCCTTCCAAGTAATAAAAAAATAAAAACTTGGATTTTGTTTGATTACAATTCTTGTTAATTTAGCCTTTTATATATCAAAATTTGATCATATTAAAGATTTAAAAAGAACTATTAAATAAATAAAAAAGAGTTAATACCACAAATGGTATTTTGATTATTGGGTTAGTACTCTTTTTAGTCTTGGATTTTCAATTGATGTATAATATTTTTAGCTTCTTCTAGCTCTTTAAGACAACAATATTATTATAACGATTTCATCCTAGCTCATTACTTCAATGCGGTAATGAGTCGAGTCTTCAATTCCAACATCATAGACTAATGACAATCTTGGAAGATGGTTTTGGAAATGTGTTAGGAGTAATGTAAGTTTTCTATTTTTTATTTTATAAATCATCATCATTTATATTTTTGTTTCAAATTTTTTATTTTAAATATTGTTCGTGGTAAATGCAATGCAATTTTGTTAGTGGTTTTACCCATCAATGTATCAAAGGTTTAAGAAAATAACTCTCGGATTGTTGGAAAGGATCAATGAGAAACTTAAAGCAATATAATGCTGCTAAGAAAGTACTAGACAAATTGGAAGGCCTACAAATTATTATCACAAATTGACAAATTGGTGATTTTTTTTTTAATGCTACTAGCTCTATTACATTGTAGTATTTGTTCATATACTTTAGCTCTATTACATTGTAGTATCTGTTCATATACTTTCTCAACTTACTGAAACACAAAGAGCTAATAACGCCTCCACAAATTAGTGATTATTTTGTGGGATATTTGTGTTTATGATTAACATTATTTTGTGTTGTTTGAAAGTGAAAAATGTTCAACTGGTGGTGGTCTATACAAACTTTCATCTAGTTAGATACGCATGTCTTTATAATGCACTTTTATTTTACCTTGTAATATTGTAAGGTTTCTGTAATAATTTTTTTTTAAAAAAATAAAAATAAAAATTGTGTCCACATTTTAATTAAATAAAATGAGATACATTTATATTTGTGGCTTTCATTTGTAAAGTTGTTTGTATTAAATTAATTTTTGTAATATTGTTGCTAAATATTTAATTAAATAAAATCAAAGGCATATTCATTAGCCTACTATCTTCAAAGACTCGACTTATTAATTACGATATATATATATATATATATATATATATTTTTTTTTTTGTGTAAACCACAAGGTGTTACAATATTGATAGTAATGAATTGTAATGAAATCACCATAATAATATCATTGCCTTAATGATGTAGAAGAAGTTGAAGACATTATACATGAACTTGAAGGAATTTTATTTGTTTTTTGAACACCAACTATTTACAGATGAGTATTGAGAACCTTCTTGGCACCATTGTGTTGAAAATATATTAATAAATAAATTTTCTGGTTGTATTAATAGATGAATTTTTTGGGTCAATTTTGGTGTCTAATTTGACATAATTTCTAACCGAGGATTATTTTTTGGCAAAAATAAAAGTCAAAGGTATATTTTTTGTCAAATTGAAAGTGCAATACTAAAATGAGTACGCGCGTACTACTTCAATAATCAAAGGATTATTTGTGATATTAACTCTAAACAACATTAATTGTGTTGAATGAGCTATTTGAACTCGACTCAATAAATTTAGAGATGTAAATGAGCTATCGAGCTTATGCTCGAGTAGTGTGAGTAACGAATTGAATTGAAATTTGAATATGTTAATATTCGGTTTTGGCAACCCGTGAGCAAGCCTGTTTGAGTTTTTTATTTTATTTTATTAATATTTCATATAATATAAAAAATTTAATATATATATATATATATATATATATATATATATATATATATATATATATATATATATATGTAAGTGTACAAATAAGTACACATTAGATTGGCTAATTTATTAATTTATTTTATGTAAATGTTAGTTAGCATGAATTGTAATTAATAGTTTGGACCAAGCTAAAATGTGTGGTGGAGGTTTATTGGAAATGGTTTAGACAAAGAGCAAGTCTGAAGATCAAGTTAAAAGAAGATGTGGTTGAGAAGATTTCAAGCCACATAAAGAAGTTACATTCAAGGCTTGGTGGAATGGGGATTTCGTACACTATAAAAGGAAGGGAAATCAAAAGAGGAAGTAGCAAATTCTGAATTTCTATATCCATACGCAAGCTTCCTTCAATATTGCTTTAATATTGATTATATTAATTGTGATTTAAATCTGTACTACGACTTAGTACCTGTGACAGCTGAAGTGCTACACCAAAGATGTTTATGGCATGCACGGTTCAGTCCTGAGTAGGTGTTTTAGAAGAGTTGTAGTGGTAAAGGCTGTGAGCCGTTTGTAGTTACCTCTTGTAGTACTCTGTGGTGAACATCTAGTGGATTGGGCAGACGTGGGTTGCCCCGCAGACGTAGGAGAAGGAGCTCCGAACTGCGTAACAATTCTACTGTGTCTTTACTTTATTTACGCTTTCAATTTCGTTATTTATATGTTGATTGAATTGATTTAATTAAACAGCGAAATTGTCTAGTAATATAAAATCAAGTAGAATCCTTAGTGTTAAATTGATTTCAAGATACACGGGCTTTTTCAATATATATATATATATATATATATATATATATATATATATATATATATATATATATATATATATATATATATATATATATATATATATATAAAGTTCTAGGGCGGATATGCTCCAAGGTGAACAATAAGGTTAGATCTGAGTCGTTGATCAAATTTAGATCAACAGCTCAAATCAGATCTGGACCTCACGTTTGACAGCCGTGGCTGTCTGACTGTCATCGCCCGACAGTCGGTGGCTGAAATTCTTTTTTTCTTTTTTAAATTTAAATTATTTTTTAATAATTAAATTGGCAACCGGTTAGCAACCTGCAAAAAGATTCAATTGAACAAATTTAGCTGATAAATGTGACCAATTAGACTTTAATTTAGTTCGTGGTGGAAATTAAGGGAGCGTTATGCCATGAAACCGTGTTCACCATTCATGGTGAACACGGTTCCAACGGTGTTAGTACACCGTTATCTTTTTTTTTTTCTTAATTAATTGTGTGACTTTTCTTCTTCATTTTCACATTTTGCGGTTTCACTTTAA